GAACAACTACAGACCTCCCCCAGGAGCCGTGGGTGGGTGGAAGTGTCAGCTCTGTCACGCAAACAGCCACACGAGTGGCTGCTGTCCACCCCTGGCACCCAACGGCATCGCAGCCACCGGCACCGGCACAGCAGCTCCTGGGCTCTGTGCCCACCTCCAGCACCACCAGCTCCCCTTCCTCCCTCCCAGCCAGCACGGGCAGAGCCGTGCCCACTCTATGTCCAGCTAAACGCAACATCCCTGGTGCCACAGGAGAATGGCACCCACAGTGCCCAGCTGGTGGGACCAGCACAAGTAGCACCAAGACCCTGGGGATTGCAGGGTCTGTGAGCCCAGGTTGGGTGGAGTGGAGCAGCAAGTATTGCAGCTGCTGGGAATACAGGGGCTGCCTGTTCCTGTCCCAACAGCCTGGCTTCAGTTTCTTGGAAATGCCTCATTTGTAGAATAAAATCCTGCCTTCATCTGCCAGTCTCTCAATAATGCTGAATTCGACGTCAGCATCGTGGACCCTCGTCCTGCGAAAGGCTCCGGCCCCGTGGTTTTCCTCCCAGTAGTGGTGCCAGTTCCCTTCACTGTCTGCTCCGAAGCCAAACACGGAGACCTGTGCACATGGCAGGAAGAGACGTGGCTGTGTGGGCGCTGGGGCACCCCGGGAGCCCACGGACGGGCAGAGCAGGGGCGATGGGGGCACAGCCCGGGGCCCGCGGGCTGTGCTCACCTGCTGGCAGGTGTGCAGGGCAAAGAGCAGGGCTGTGAAGCCGGTGGAGGGGTAGCGCCCGTGATGCTGCGTCCACTTGTCATGGATGTACTTGAGGAATGCTGGGCTCAGGATCAGCACCTGAGTGGGGAGTGGAGGAGCCATCAGCTGCTCTCATGCTGGAGTGGGACAGCCCAGCAGCCCCAAGCAGAGCACCATTAGCTCTGCCCAGCAGAGCCCTGCCTGCCCCAGGGAGCTGGAGCCCACGGAGCCCTTACCTTGTTTCTGTCAGCTTTGATGAACTGTTTGACTCTCACATACGTGCTGCAAAAGCAGAAACAAGTGATGAGCATGTGGCACTGCCACTGCTGGGGCTGCCCCTTTGTTCCCAGGGGTATCTGTGTCCACCGGCACCCAGCCCCGTGGCACCCCCAGCCCCTTCAGCTGACCCAGCAGCATTGCCTGGCCTGGCTCTAGGAAGGGACACATCAACCCCATGGCCCCACGGTGGGGACAGCCCCCTCCCTCTTACAGGGGTATGGGACTGCAGGCTGTCTGAGCCCTGCGGGGACAGCTCAGTGTCCACTACCCCAAACTGCAGTGCAGAGGGATGCTAAGACATGCATCCAGCACGCTTCATCCCACCAGGACTGTGGTGCCAGGGCTCCAGTGAGGCACCAGGGCTCCCAGACCACACTGTCCCATCCAGAGGGTCTCCAGCACAAGAGATGCCATCCCCCAAAGCTGACACACCGTGTGACCTCTCCAGTGGAGAAGGCACTGGTCACCCACTGCAGGTCCAGGGGCTTGAAGGGGACAAGGACGAGGTGGACGCCAGGCCCAAGGTTCACTGCACTCTCTGGGTACATGAAGTGATGGGTTGTTCTTGTGCCAACATCCAGCTCAAAGCCAGCAACCTTTGCTCTGTTCATCCTAAAGGACAGCAGGATGGTGTGTCCCAAAATGAAGGTGCATGCCGTGCTGGTCCCAGGTTCCTGGTCCCACCAGGCATGGACAGCAGGTCACCCTGGCCAGCAGCAGAGTGGGCATGGGTGACACAGAACCAGTGTGTGCCCCAGAATAGAGGGCTCGGGGAGAAGGGTTGGCAGTCACCCCCATCACAGGGTTTGTGTTTTCAACAGCATGGCTGGGGCATGCCAGGGTCCTGGGAAGACAGGTAGAGACCAAGTCTCTTCAGATCACCCACCTCAGCACCCAATCATGAGCATCAATTAGCAGCCCATGGCTGGACCCCTTCAGCCGCCCTGAGTTCCCCACCACCGCACAAGTCCTGCAGCGAGGGGGGTCCAACACGTCACCCGTCGGGGCTCGGAGGACGCTGAAGAGTTGCCGAATTATGGCCTGGAGCTGGACACCATTCATGGGACCCTGCAGGGTCTAAGGGAACAAGCACAGTGACATGCAGCATTAGCCCCCCACTAGTAACCTAGAGAGAGACAGAGCCCCTCTCCTCCTAGCAGAGCCCTGGGAAAGCATGGAAAAAACAGATGGGATATTAGGAAAAGGGTACAGGACAACACAGGGGACAGTGGGGTGTAAGGGGGAGGAAATGCTGAGCTGGGATCTCTGCACACACTTCATCCCAGTCACACCTGTTCTTGGTCCTGCCCCGCTGCAAAACACATTCAGGGAACCTGGGAAGAGCCACACGCTCCTGCCCACTGTCCACTCACCAGCCACCACTGAACCACGTCTGCAGAGAGCTCCTGGGCTGCCCCCGTCAGCAGGAGCCCTGCGGCCGCCTCGTAGCGCTCGTTGAACCACACGGAGCTGTTGGCTCTGGCAGGGCAGGGGACACCAGGGGTGTGCAGGAGGGAGGGGGCCCAAGGGACAGGGCCAAAGTCATCCATGAGGGCTCGGAAACATTGCCACAGGGCCAGCAGCAGGCACAGGGCCAGCACCACCTTTGTGCGCCTCTGGTTCAGCATCCTGCGTGCCACCTGCAGTGAGATGTCACAGAGACCATTGGCAGGGGCACCACAGGAACCCTTCTCACCCACCCTCCCTGCCCAACCCTCTTGGGACACCCCTTGCCTGCTCACCCACCCTGGGGGACCTGAAATAGCCTGGTTTTTGTTTCCTTTTCAAACTGTTCAAAGGCATTTTTGCTGTGCTCTGCTCCTGCCACTGCCACCAACCTAGGGCGGGGCAGGGCTGGCTGGCAGCATGTGCTGTATGAGGGGCTGCTCTCTGCCTGCAACATTTTTAGGGTCTGCAAGCTGACCTGCGAACAAGCTCCAAAGCATCATCACCCTGGTCACAAGCCAAACCCCCCTTGCCGTCGGAGCGGTGCCCATCATCAGAGCGGTGCCCATCATCAGAGCGGTGCCCATCATCAGAGCAGTGCCCACCCCCCCACGTGTGTGGGGTGCTGGCAGTGGGGCCCCTGCCCACCATAGACCTCCCCACCAGAAGAGGAGCCCCAGGGGCTCTGCCCCAGCTGAGCACACACGGGCACAGTGCAGCTCCCACCTGAGCAGCCCTGGGGTGCTGCAGCTCAAAGGGCACTGAAGCATTGCCAGGAAGAACATTTCTGGTCTCTATGTAAAGCACTCATGTAAATGTAAAGTCAGAGGGGAAAGGGTTTTCCTGTCCTCAGGGAGTTCATGAAGTGCTCAATGACTTAGGACTCTGCTCCTTGGGCTGAGGCAGGAGTGAAGAGCAGAGCTACAGGCACAGGCTTCATCCCAGGGTGAGAACAGAATACAGCAGGTTTATGAAGGTGTCCCCTGTGTACTGGGAAAATTGAAGAAAACTCCTCCTGTCCTCACAGGAGCACCCTGTGCCTCCCCCAGTTGCCTGGGTGGGGCCACGTGTTAGCACTGGTTCCGCTTCTCCACATGAGCCATTTTCTGCAGCTCCTGCAGCACGGATGTCCCTGCTCACTGTGGTGCCCAAGCTGCTGCACTCAAATCTGACCCCAAGGACATGCCCTAGACAGCAAAACTGCTGCCCTGGGAGATCCAGGCAACCAGCAGAGATGGAACAGGATGGGGGAATTTGCACCATCCCAGGTGGTTGCAGCAGGTTGTGCTCCCTTTGTCCTTCCCAAAAGACACTAAACTGTCACCTCATATTGAAAGGGAAAGCACAAACAAGTCATCACCAGCACTCCGGAAACCCAGATGTGGGTTCTCTCAAGCAGGAAGCTGCTGTGAAATGCCGGCTGTTCTCCCCTCAGGCTCAGGGGAACCCCAACAGCCCTGGCACCCTCCCCACTAGCAGTCACAGGTCCTTTTGACTTACTCTTTTGCCCTCCTGCAAACAGCCACGAGCATTTGCCATGGTGGAGGCAAAGAGCATCCATCTGATGTACTGGTCAGGCCAGGCACCAGCAGTCCCTGGGCTGGTTCAGGCACTTGTGGAGCCTCAGGGATTTTCAAGCCACAGCTCCTGGAGGGGTGGGAGTGGGCAGGGGGCTGCATGACCAGCACCAGCAGCTTCAACAAGACTAGAGCCAGGGGACCCAGCCCAGGGAATATTTCATGCAGTTTGTTGCAGTCACCTGTGGCTGGGGCAGGCAGGGTCTGGACAGGCAGAGTTGAGTGGCCTCATCCCCCCGCCCTTGCCCCTGTGCAGCCTCTGCTCCACGGATGGGACCCCTCCACCTGCACCCACACCACCATGGCAGCTCAAATGACCCCACTGTCCCTGTGTCCAGAGGTGCCCTGGCCTTGGGGTTCCCCAGCCCAGAGACACTGGCCACGAGCCACCACACCTTAGCCATGTGGCCCCTGCACTGGGCTGCATTCAGTGCCCACAGACCTGTCTGTTCCCACTCAGCCCCAAGAAACACTGCCAGGAGCTCCACAGTCCCAAAACAGGGAAAGAGCCTCTCCTGGTGTTGTGACCTCTTGGTTCCCAGCCAGTCCCCAGGACCCCTCACCTTGGGGGAAGCGCCGCTGAGCAGGTGATGCTTCCGGGCTCGGGGGCCTCTGCAGGGATTGTTGCAAGAGCAACAACAGCCACGGGAAGAGGAAGTGTTGCACCATGACGTGGGGGAGAACAGTGAGTGGCACAGTGAGGTCAGGGCTGCTGTCCCTTCTCCAGCAGTACCTGCCACTGGCATCCTGGCACGGCCCCTCCACACAGCCCTGCACCGTGGCAGCTGCTGGTCCCACTGGGGTTGGATGCCCTGGGCATGTTCCCAGGGCCAAATCAGGAAATTATTGATCAAAAAGTTCCTCTGAAGGTGGGAGAACCTGCTTTGAGTGGAACTGCCCTCCTGCCCCTGTGTGTCCTGCTGGGATGGCTCACTGACATGAGCAACATGGAGCTCTCAACAGCCTTGTGCATCCAGCACCTCACCAGGTTTCTTTTGCTCACCTGGATGGGATTTTGGCTCAGAGAGGACAGAGAAGGACTGTGAAATGCACCTTGGCAACTAGAAAAACACAGCCAGTGGAAAAGCAGTGCCAGCTGAACTGTGAGTAATTTTATCCAAGGGGAGGTCAACACTCTGCTTTGCAAGGTTTGGTGCCTGAGGTTTGGTGCAAAGACAAAGGATCTAGAAATTCAAACTAGAGCAGCCCTGCAAAATACAAAAAGTCAGTATTTACTGGTGACAGGCTCAAAGGGCCTCTGCACCACTTCAGGGGAGCCAGGCACTGGAGGGGCAGTGCCCTGAGCTGCCACAGAGCACATTTTCTGGATCACACACAGAGTGAAACAGGGGTGGGAGGAATTAGGGGCAGCACTGGCTCTGTGATGCTGGCTTCACAGCACTTGTTTGCACTCCCAAAGTCCAGCCTACTGCAGCTCCCGAGCCTGGCAAGGCACAGCACTGCCCCCCACAGCCGTCACTTCCATCAGCACTGGCAGAGCAGGGAGCTCCAGGGAGCAGAGCAGGGAGACCACAGGACAGCAGCATGGACAAGGCAAGGCAGGGCCCAGGCATGGGGCAGCAGAGCACACCAGGGCTGGTCTGTGCATGGGGCCGTGGCTGAGGCAGAAGCACCACTGTGGAGCCCGTGGGCTGCTGTGTTCTTGTCTTTGGGCTGGCTGAGAGGTTCTCCAAGACAGCCCAGAGGAGGGGTGGGCTGGAGGATGAGTGCTGGGGCAGCAGAAGTGAGTGCAGATGGTAGCTTGGAGAATTGCATTTTAAGCAGTTGATCAGATCTTCTTTCTTGAATTGAAGCAGCTCCTACTCGCTGAGAACGTGAACAAATGACGCAGGGAAGGCACCTTCCCTGTGGGGCTGCCCTTCAATCCACCCTTTCTGTGGGGAGATAGGAAGGAAAAGGAGCAGTGAGCACAACACAGGGGCATTCAGGGGCATGAGGAACTGGGCCCATAACAGCTTCCTTTGATTACCAGGGAAAAGATGGAGAGACAGATGCACAGCCGGAGATGACAATGTGTGCAACAGTCATGGGACAGAGGTGGGAAATGTCTGAAGAGGGGATCATGTGCATCCAAGTGCCAGCTACATGCACAGGTTCACTCACCCACCAGTTGCTGTCCTCCTTTTCAGACACCACAATGACCTCTCCTGTGTGGAAAGTCAGCTCATCCTCCCTGTCAGCGTCGCAGTCGTAGAGAGCACGAACCCTGTGGAGCAGCCGTCGGTTCTGCAGGGAGAGAACATCCTCAGACACAACTAAAATGGTGCCACTGTCCCGATCCTAAAGGCCCTGGCAAGGGTGTGAAGAGCAAGGATGAGAGACTGGGAGATTTCCTGTGCAGAGAGGAGTGCAGAGGTAGCAGATCATCTGCTGGGAGTTTGGGTGGGACAGGGGCTCCTTCTGCTGGAACATCCTTCCAGAGGCAGCTGCTCCTCTGCCCCAGGACTGTGGCATGTGCCTGTGCAGGGAATGGGTTCCCCATTCTCTCAGGACAGGTCTGTGTGAGGAGTCAGTGGTGCTGACCTGTGTCACCACAACCCTAAGACCAAGCAACCCAAGCAAGGTGTCCCTAATGAAAGGGCTCTGCCTCTGCAGTATCATCAGGGAGAAAGGTGTCCCCTGCAGCCCAGAGGGGCAGGGCCAGTGTGGACACTGCACTCTTGTCCATGTCTAAAACTGCACTCCCTGACCTGACAACCTGAAATCACGAACATGGCAGGGGTAGCGTTCCCAGCACTTAGCAGGGAGATGTCAATGCCAGGGAATCACAGAAATGCTGGAAGGAGAAGTTGCTAGGGCCAGCAGCAGCTCAGGTCAAAACCAAAGGGGATAAATACTGGCAGATGTGGGAGCTGAGCTGATCCTGACCACCTACCAAACTGCTCCTCTGAGGAAGTGGGACATTCCAAGCATGGCCAGAACATGGATCTGGCTCCTGGAGAGATCGGTGTGGGCCAGGCTCTTCTACTTTGCTGGGGCCAGACGTGCAGAGGGGGTCCATGGCTTTCAGGGCACCTGAAACACAATCAGGCTGGTTCATCTGCTCACATCTTTCATCACAGGCGGAAAACAGCAACCACCACTGTGAGGCAACATGGTGCAACATGGTCCTCCACGATGGTACAGTGTGGGCAGCAAGTACCCCATCAGTCTGGGAGCTGGAAAGGGGAGGGACTGGGGACAGTTGTGCTGCTCTTCAAAGCAGGGATCAGTGCTAGGTCAGACCAGCCAGCCTTGGACCCTGAGGAGCAGAGGCCCAAAGGGCAACCCATGGCACCAGACAAGCCCTCCCACCCTGTTGGGGCCCAGCTCCCTCCCAGACCCCACTCTGTTGATGGGGCCTGGCTGCAGCAGCAGCAGCTCACCCTGCCAGCCCCCACAGGACCCCACCACAGGCTCTCACCTGGCTGTGCCTGGGGCGGGAGTGGAGGTGGATGGGAGGGGGCCGGTGGCACATCCACGTGTAGGTGGTGGGCTGGCGAGGGGCAGGGGTCCGGCCACCCGCCCTGGGGCACTGCCTCTGCTGCCTCTGGCCTGGGGACAGCAGCAAGGGGGTGGTAGCAGCTCTGGGGATGGGCAGATCCCCTCTTCTCAGGACCCATCTGGGAAAGGGTGTTTGCAGGTTGGATGGAGGGTGTACAGGTGGGAGGTAGAGCAGCACCCACGTCAGTGCAGGCAGCGAGGCCGCAGCAGCACACACGGGCCCAGCCCAGCCCCTCTCAGCACCTCACCTTCTCATCCAGGTCTTCGTCACTCTCAAACATGTCATCTTGTCCCAGCCACCGCTCGTATTCCACATGGACATGGGGGTTGAATTGATTGCTCTGGGCCTGCAGCAGCTGGGGCACAGAGGAGCTCCCTGAGGACCCACCAGACCTGTCCTACCCCACCAGCTCCACAGGCCCCATATCCAACCACCCACCCTGCAGGGCAACATCTGCAGCTGCAGGCAGTTCTTCCTGGCAGCAGTGGGCCATTACCAAGGTCTCCAAATGCACAAATCAGGACGTGGAAAAGCCAAGCCTGCACTTGCTGAGGAGATGCACAGCCCCAGCACAGACCCAAGTCCCCCTGCATGATCCAACCCCTGCCTGGCCTGTCCTAAACTGCCCCGAAGGACCCTGTGCCAGCAGGACCAGCACCCACCCTCCCTCCTCTGCATCCCACACTGGCACTGGAGTTGCTGAGGGGCACAGGGGGCCCTGTGGACAGGTCCACATGGCTGTGGGTCCCTCACTGCTCTCTGCTGCTGGGACGAGTCCTGAAACAGGAGGAGTGGTGAGACAGTGCCTTACCAGCTTTTCACACAGGGAGTGTCTCATCCTCCTGGCAACATCCAGGGCTGTCTCTCCTGCTCTGTTAGCTGTGGGGGAAGCAGCACCTTGAGGCCCATGAGCCCATGCTCTGCTCAGTGAAATGAAGAGCCATGTTGTGTTTGGGGCAACTGGCAAAATAAGCCTAAAAGAAGGGACAGCCTATACCCAGGAGCAGAACAGAGGCTCAGACCATTGAAGGATGGTGAGGGGAAGATGAAGAGCATAGGAGCTGAGACACACAAATAAGGAGAGAAAGGAGTAGGAGTAAATCGATGACTTGCAGAGATGAGACAGGACAGAGAGGACAGAGGGACAGAAGAGCCTTATTGCCAGAGCCTCAAGGCTACAAAACCAGAGGAGCTTTGGGCAGACCTGGTGTATGTGTCCTGATGCCTAATGGACACCCAGGTCCCTGTGCCTGCAAGAAGGGTGTGAGTGCAAGTGCCAACAAGCCACAACCATTTTACTTCGGTTTCACTTTAAAATACAACTCCTTCCACTGCTTGGAGGTCTGAGGGTGTGACCTGTGATGGTGTTGCTGTCATGCAAAACCCCTCCTTGCAGAGCAGCAGCATGAGACTGGCTGGGGTCATGCAGGCTGGGAGGGTTCTGGGGAAGGGGGAAGGTGGGAGAAGGGAACAGCAAGAGGTCTGTACCCAAAGGGATTGCAGAGCATCCCCAGAGCAGTGCTGGGGCCTGCACTGTGGACTCAAGGTTCTTGAGGTTAGTCAGCAAAGGCAGGTCAGGCCCAACTGTGCCCAGCATGGCCAAGGCAGTGATAAATTTGGCTGCCAAATCCCGGTGCAGCTGGGGGGACACACACCCAGCCCCTACTGGTCTCTTTGTCCTCCAAGGGGCTGCTCCTGTGCTGCCCGGAATGGGAAATGGGATCATCACAGGATCACCCCAATAGGCAAAGCTGAGTGCACCTGCCAGCTCAGCTGATACCTAGCAGTGGGAACACTTGTGCCCTCCCATTTCACCCAGGATCTTAGTTTTTAAGCTCACTTCTGTGATGTGAAGAGGAGATTTATGGGCAATATAAATGGCTGGACCTGTGATCTGGGCACCAGAGCACCAGCACACACCATCTCAGAACCAGTGCTTTGACAATTCTCCTGCCTGTGCTCCAGCATTGAGGTGTTGGGTTTGGAAAAGAGTTCAGCGCTTGTTTTGGCTTCTGCTGTGCATGTGCTGTGTGTGGCAGAGCAGCTCAGGCAGTGTTTACCTAGCTGGACTCTGCCAGCTTGGCGAGCCCACCCCAGTGCAGTCCCACCAGCAAGGGGGACAGTGAAGTGGGGCAGACACACAAGCTCCCTGGGTCAGAAGTACCCCAGGGCAAACTGTTTACTCCCTGGGGAGCAGAGAAGAGCATCCCCTGCTCACAGCTGGAGAGCAAAGCCACTGCTTCTGTCCCAGGCTGTCGAGAGCAGGAGCCTGTGAGATGGGAACACCCCACTCACGGGGGTCCACGTGCACCCCAAACCAGTTTGTGAATGCTGCTGATCCTGGAGAGCCAGCCCAGAGCAGTGTCAGAGCAGAGCACCTTGCTGGACACGGGCAGAGCCTGGAGCTGATGCTGTCACCCTGCGGGCTGAGCTCCCCACCCACACTGCCATCAACCTCCCTCCCCCCAGCCGAGAGTTCTGGCACTCTGACAGACCAAGAAGGTGTTTCCAGAGAAGAGCTGGGCAGACATTTCATACGTGCCCAGGGCACAGGGTCCCACGGCCACTCACTGATGGTGATGTCGGCTCTGGCCCTCAGCAGCAGTGTGGCACACTGGGGTTTGTTGTGGGAGCAGCAGTAGTGCAGGGCCGTGTTCCCCTCCGCCGTCTGCTGCACCAGGATCCCACTGCAGCACAGGGGGACAATGTCAGCATCTCTAGGAAGAGCCACCAGCCCTAGCCCCAGCAAACACTGCCTGGTGAGAGCACACGTGTCCTGCTTCTCACCTCACCTGGAGAACAGGTGGTCACCACCATTGTCACACCTCAGCCCACGGGGGACAAGGGAACCCCTCTGATCTGGGGGTAGTTACCCCAAGCCCAACCTAAAACTCGTTTGCTGGCAGGTTTTCCCTGCTGTTTTCTCTCTTCTTTTGGGAGCATTTTGGAGAAGATCATCAGTCTTGCACCTTTCATTAGGGGTCATTAAAGTCAGCCATGACAAGCTGACTGGGTGGGATGAACTTACCTGTTCTGGACAAGAAAATCAACAATATGCAAAGAAGTTTGATCAGACAAAAGCACTGCCAGGTGGAGAATGGTCTCCCCAGGTTCCTATAACCAGGAAGAATAGAGCAAGGATGAGACAGTGTGTGCCTGCAGTGCCACTGCAAGCAGGAGCCCTGTCCTTTGGGGCTGTCCTGACACACTTAAAATCCGAGAGATGAGTAAGTTTAACTGTCTCTTCAGAGGTCACCAAGGCTGGTGAGAACCTAGTTAAAATGGTGAGCTTATGCCTTCATGAAGAAGAATCAGTCATCCCCTTTTAACATTTAGAAACCACAGCAACCAAAGGTGACTTTTGGCCCCAGGCCACTAGCTGAACCCTGCCAAGCCCAGGATCTCAGCAGAGCCCTGGGGTGTGTAACAGCTGCTCCCTGCAGAACTGCTTCTCACTCACCAGTTTGTCCCAACATATCCCAGTGCTTCTTGCTCACTGCAGCATTTTGCTCCTTTGCTTTGAGGACACCCACCAGCAGCATGCCTGCAGCTCCAGGGATTCCCTGAATTCCTAACAACACTCTCTTCTTCCACTTACAGCAATGACCCACACTGAGGTTTTGCAGGAAAAATTGCTGCCTTGATTTTTCAGCCTAGAGTAAGACTTGGATGTCCCAAGAAAATCCACTCAGAAGTTTACGGGTAAATCTCAGTTACAAACTGGCCTTGGAAAAGCCTTGGGCTTGTGGTTTTGACTCCTGTCCCCTCCACACACAGCATGAGGAGGGTTGTGGGGTCACAGCCAGAAAATCCTTCCTCTACTGTGACATTCCTCACCCTGCTTGAGTCTACCTGTTGCTTCCAGCTCATACAAAGCACCATTTTCATCAGAAAACTGTTCTCTCTCAGGCACAGGGACCCTTGTGGGCAGGGGAGAGCAAAGCTGTTTACCACAGGGCCTGTGGGGTGGGTGACCATACCTGCAGAGGGGCCAGCACAGGCTTGCTCAAGTCCACGTTCTGTGCATATGCTTGGAGCAAAGCAAATATGTCCTTGTCCTTCACGGCTCCTGGGAGGGCAGAGTGCTGAACAGGAGGGCTCCTCTTGGCATATTTCTTCTTGACGTATTTGGAAATAATGAAATCCTTCCGAAAGGCCCTTGCAGAGAGCAGCCAAATGAGAGTTAGGGGCCACAGAGCAACCCAGCGAGCATGGCAGGCCCCCCTCCCTTCTCTCCCTCCACCCCAGCCACCTTCCCTCTCTCCCCCTCAGCCCTGCCAGGCAATTTAGCACCTCCTCTCCCTCTGTCACATTCCCCAAACTCCTCTGCATCAGCTTTCTTAATAACTCTCACAGAGCACTGTGGTTTTCTTAAAGCTTCCTCTCTGCAGTTTTAAAATTTATTTTGCATAATTAAACAAGACCTTGACTTTCAGGCACTTAAAGTGCCATGGCCTGGAGGTGAGGATTCCTGCAGGCACCGAGGGAAGCCAGAACCAGGCCCCTGTCTTTCCCTCCAGCAGGGATCTCTCTGCCTTCATCCAACACCCTGAACTCTTGTGATTGTCTCCTTCATCAAGGCAGAGACAGGAAGGGTCTGTGCCTCTCTCCCTCGCCCAGGCACTCTTTGCTTTCCAGAACCTCCTCCATTGCCTCTGCTCCAGCATGAGGAGACCTGACCCCTCTGCCCTTCCTGGTGGGAGACGCTCACGGGTGCCATGGGGATTTATATCCAGTCCTGGTGATGTTTTATGCTCTCTTCTCCCTTCCCATCCTCCCTAGCCCTGACCTTTGCCTTTCAGACCCCTCTGCCCTCACAGTTCAGTGCTGGGCTCAGATCCCTGACGGTGAGAATGAAGGGAAAGAGCAGAAATCTCAAGGATTGGGAAATGCCATATGGTGTGAACTGGCCAGGATTATCCATGGGTCAGGAACAGCTTCCAGACTAGGACCCCCTGGAGCAGGGGAGAAGCCAAGAACAGCGGAATCAGTTGCCAGCCAGAGGATCTAGGGTGGCTGCAGGTGTCTTAGGGGGCAAAGGAGTGCTCCAAACAGAAAAGGTCATTGAGGGAGAACCAAATTACTAATTTCATGCAGTTTCAATTTTCCCAGCACACAAGTAGAAGAGCGGATCTGGCAACTGAGATCTTGACCACACTGTTCCAGTTGTATTTTCCTGTTCTCCCAGCTCTCTGATGCTCTCTCCCTGCTAAGTGCCATTCCTCACTCACCCATTCCCTGCAGAGTAGGTCCACACTGTCCAAATGGTACCGTAGTCAGGACTTACAGGCTTGTAATGGAACCTAATTATGCCTGCTCTGCCTGCCTGCCCTCCAGCCTCCTGAAAGTCCCTTCAGCCCTGACAATGTTTCCCAACTCTGTGCTTCCCTCAGGAGCGCTGCTGCACCTCAGGTTCATGGCACACCGCCCTGGAGAAGCCCCCAGCTCATACTGGTGCCAGCCATGCCACCAGCTCTGCCCTGTGCTCTGCAGAGCCTGGGGGCACACTGGGATGAGGGATGGGAGTTCCCACATCCTCAGCCACTTGCTTGCTGTGAGTGCTGATCCCACCAACATTGGGTCACAGCCACTGTACACAGTGAGCTGCTCTGCACATGCACATCCCTGTCACCCATCCCCCTGAGCCCTCCCACCCTGCTGATGTGCAGCCAGAGCCACCCTGCTCTGCAGCTCCACTTCGGTTTTAAATTTTCCCTTCTTGCCTTCTCCTTTCCAACACTGGCTCCTCAACCTTTGTCCTGACCTCAAGGCCAATCCTTGAGTTATCCTGCTGGCTTTCCTCACTCTGCTTCTCTCATTTATCAAACTTTTCCAGCTAAGCTTGCTGAAACTGCTCCTGAAGAGAAGTGACAGTCTTGGGAGGAGGCTGAGCAGTGCCATGGTCCTGGTCACTGCAGGGAGCACACTGAACTGTGTGTTCAGTGGTATCTAACCTCCCACAGAAAAACAGCTCTTGCAGAGCGACTCACATGTCACTGTGAACAGTGGGTTTCAAGGAAAGGTTGTGGAGATTTGCTTCCATAACATTGTTGAAGCCAGAGTTGCCGATATTCCTCGCCAGCTGCAAAACAGACAAAGAAGAGGTGACAGGGGACACACAGCAGCCATGGAGAGGAAGCTCCAGGTTGAGATCCTGGCCAGGTATCAAGGGGATGCCAAGGGGTACCAGGATGGGTGTGCCCAATGGCTGGAGGCTCTGCTCTGCCTCCTGCTGCTGAGAACTCTCAACTCCAGCAGCACAACCAACCCCAGAGTCGACCCCTGGGCTCAGAGCTGGGCAAGCAACTACCCCTGCAAAAAGCCTTTTCTCCTGCCCTGCTCCCCAGCAGCAGCTCCCAGCACAGCCTGACCAAACCCATGAGCATGGAGAGCATTGTAGCCCTAAAGCAGCCCCATGCCAAGTCTCCAAGCCCCTGTCTGCTCCATGCTCTGCCCTCCCCCAGTTCCAGCTTGGCCCTGCCCCACAGCTCCTCTGCACTGGGGGACACAGATGAGCAGAGGGGACTGAGAGGGATGGGTGACCCATCAACAGCAAAATGACCCTCCTCTCCTCCTTGAAGATGACAATTCCTGACACAATAACCACTAAACCCTGGGAATTACAGGTTGGTATGGATCAGTTCAACACGTAAAAAAACCCCATGGAATTCACTTAGTTTTAAAGAGGCCCCAACAGAAGCAAGAGAGGCTTGAGGACAGAGCACTCTGGCAGCATCCTACCAGCAATTCAGAGGTTGCCAGCTTGTCCAGAGACAGCGACTGGATGTGGGAGAGGTGCACACCCATGTCTCTGTGAATCCCAGAGCACCCACTGCAGATCAGGATGCCCAAGTTAATGGAGAGCCAAGAGGGATCTGCAGGGACAAGACCACAGGGCTTGTGTGCATCTCTTGCCTCTCCTCCCTGCTGGCCCACCACCACCCCATGGCACAGCTCCCCAGCAGGACAGAGGGGAGAAGCAAGACCCCAGATGCCTGCAGGTCTTCAGGAGCTGGATGCCATTGGGACAGGGCAGAGCAGTGCCTGTCCAGGGGGAGGAAGCACGGGGGCAGAGGGAGCCTCAGGACCAAGGGCAGGCTGTCACCTGGGGCAGAGCAGTCGCAGCACTCCCTGTTCCCAGGCATTCCTCTGAGCTCCTCGAGGATGGCCCCGGTCAGCTCCTCCCGGCTGCTCTCCCCTCCACCCTGGGCCTTGCTGAAGGCCACGTTCAGTGCCCCCTCCTTGCTGTTGCTGAGGACAGACACCCAGCTGCAAGGGCAGGGAGCAGATTAGGAACAGTGTCCCAAGGGCCCTGCTCAGACTGCAGGGCAAGAAGGGCAGCAGGGCTTGTCCCACTGTCACAGGAGAGATCCCAGTCTGCTCCAGTCTGCCCCAGTCTGTGCAGCAGCCACCACACACAAAGGTCCTGCCCAGGACTCCACCAGCAGACTGGTTGCCAGGAGCATCCTCCCAGCTCTGTGTCCTCTCTGTGACCAGCAGTTCCCCTAGAGAGACTGGGCATAGTCAGGATGCAAAGGGCATCAGCCAAGGGGTTCCCCGTGCTGCTCAGTTAGCCAACAGCCCAGCCTGTCATCGGAGCCAGGGCAGTGTTTCTGGCACTGCAGTACTCACATGACACAGTCCTGCTCGTCCTTGGCCTGGAAGTGGAACGTGCGGTTGTCTGAAACACACAGAGCCTCCCCTGACACCCTGCCGGTCCAGCCTGCCTGCAGAGCCTTCAGGGCAAGGAACAGCACCCCTGAGCTGGGCTCAGCAGACCTGAGAGCAACCTCCAGCCCAGGCAGCTGGGCTGACAGCCCCTGCCCAGTGCACCTCAAGCAAAGGGACCTGCTTCTGTACCAGGAAGGAGGGATACTGGAGTTACTTTAACTGCAGCCAGGAACTACACTTGTGTGGTCTCCAGGCACCCTGCACTGCCCCACAGCAGTTTTCTATCTCACCCCCCACGTGTGCATCACTGCTCCTGAGCAGAGCTGCCTCCTGGCACAATTTCCCCAGGGTAATCCCCCAAGCTGGCCCAGAGATGCAGAGCTTCCCCTCATCCCTAACACACCAGCTGAGTGCCAAGCACTGCCCCAGCTTCAGGCCCTTCCCAAAGGATCTGTAGGCAGGTACCAGCACTCACAGGAAACCACATCAAAGCATTTCTTGTCACCCATGTTTGGCTTCACTTGGCAGGTCAGTAAATTCAGCCTGGCTGGGGGGCGGTTGAGCTGCAAGCAGAATGAGGAAACACTTCAGTGCTGTGGGGAGAAGCTCTGGAGACAGACACATACCCAGCACTTTGTCTTGGGCTCAGCTCTCAGAAGCAATGCAAGAAATAGTGACACAGACCGTTTCTTTCCCAACAGCCACCCCGTGCTTGAAGCCAGGTCCCCAAGCTCATCCCCTCCATGCATGAAGGCAGGCAAGGACCTCCTGTGTTTGTCTAACACTCTGTGGGTTGCAGGGACTTCAGTCTCAAGAGAAAGGCTCCCGTGCCAGGGCAGTCCAGAAGGGTAAGAAGCAGGCACAAGGGGCCTGACAAGCCCCAGGAAGCCACTGGAGTGCCCAGCAGCAACAGGCTCTGCAGACCCTGAGGGGCAGGGAGCAGCTCCCAGTAGGAGCAGAGTGGAAGAAGCAGTTCCTACCATGCCGTGAGAGATGGTCAGGTAGCCATTGCTGATGGTGCATTTCCTCTTCTGCCAGACTTTTCTCAACCTGGAAGTGAGTGGAGGGTGAACTGAAGGACAGGCACGTGGAGGAGCAGCTGTGCAATGCAGTGCAGCACTGGCACAGGCAAGAGCCGTGCAAGGCCCAGCACAGGCCCACAGCTCTCAGCAGACACAGCTGAGCTTCCACAAACTGGGTCTGTTGCTCTCGGTCTGCTCTGAGCTGAGCAGGATCTGTCCTGTGGCACAAGGCAGGTTTGTACAGACGGGCAGCCCCCCACACTGCTGGGGTGGTGATACAGGAGCAGAGCAGCAGTCAGGGCAGCAGGACCTGCTAGCAGAGCAAACATCCAAGCCCTTCAGCTCCAAACTGACCATAGGCTGCTTTCCTGTGCCTGCCACTGTCACGCAGGGGAGAGGTGGGAGAGATACATCCACAGGGTGAGGAGATACTTCAGCCTGTGGTGAAGGAGATTCCTGAGTTCATTATTTTCTGTACAGTTTCACATTTTTCTAGGGTACTTCATAGTCCTTTCCAGGTATGCAAATCTCTCTGTGATTCCCAACAAGCATTCTGGTGGAAGATGATCCTCTTTTCAAAGACAGTGGAGTGCTTTCCAGGCCCTCAGGGTGCTGCTCCTGGAAGACCCTGCTGGCTCTCTGCCCTCTGGCCCACAGTGCCCTCTCCAACACCCATGCTGTGTCTGTCACCCCACATTTCTGCTCCTTCCCCTAATTCTCACCGTCAGGGATCTGAGCCCAGCACTGAACTGTGAGGGTGGAGGGGTCTGAAAGGCAAAGGTCAGGGCTAGGGAGGATGGGAAGGGAGAAGAGAGCATAAAACATCACCAGGAGTGTATGTAAATCCCCATGGCACCCGTGAGCGTTTCCCACCAGGAAGGGCAGAGGGGTCAAGTCTCCTATGCTGGAGCAGAGGCAATGGAGAAGGTTCTGGAAAGCAAAGAGTGCCTGGGCAAGGGGGAGAGGGACCGACCCTTCCTGCCTCCGTCAGCACAAGACCTCGGGGTGTTGGATGAAGGCAGAGGGATCCCTGCTGGAGGGAAAGCCAGCTGGTTCTGGCTCCTCACAGTGTGTGCAGGGGTCCTCACCCCCAGCACTTGCAGGGTTTGGGAGGACATTGCTCAGCTTCAGGGGAGAGGAATGTCCTCAGAGCTAAAAGATGGACACAGGCTGCTTGGAGCTTTGTGTGGAAAGCTGTTGGAGGCTGGGACAGTGTCAAACACATCTTCATGAGTGCTTGTCCTGTTCCTCTGCCTTGTGGCCAGGGAAAGGAGGCTGGTTTCAGTGGCCCTAATCTGGCCCCAGGTCACCAAAGTACAATTGAAAGGGTAATGTTGATCCCAACTTACCCATCACTTTTCTTGAGGAGGGTCCCTGATCTCTCTGTGCCATGCTGCTTGTTCCCTTGCAGCTGGTGCATGTTGTGTCCTGCCTGCCTTTTCTCAGGGTCCTGGCAGAAGGAGAGAAATAGCAGCAAGGTCCCACCCCAACAAAACCACTGCCAACCAAGAGTGTGGCCTCGCAGGACTGCCAGGGACCCTGTGCTCCCCCAGAGCTCACCAGAAACCCCACAGCTTTTGGTACCAACGGGGAGACACTACATAAGCAGCTGCTGTGCCACGAAGGATCAGACCTTACCTCCTTCTGCTCCAGCTGTGATGCCATTTCCAGCTGATGCCGAAGGGAGCAGAGCTGCTGCTTCACCTGATCTTTGTCTGAGAGGCACTGGAGCACAGTGAGCCTCTCACATGGTAGCAGGAGGCTCCTGACTCAGCAGCCCCAACTCCTCCTCCCGGGTGCAGCAGAGCTGCCCCCACTCCACCCTCTGCCCTCACTGACCCCTCGCTCTGTGGGACTCACTGAGCCCCGTTCCTGCCATGGGAGTTTCCGCTGTGCCCTGGTATGCGGTATGTGAGGAGGGAGGCAGGCATGCCCCAGCACCAGCACTCCAGAAACGAGACCACAGGAGAGCAGTCTGCATTTTCCTGTGAAAACAGCTGTTTGCAGTGCAAAAGCAACCAAGAGCCTGAAGGTCACACTGTAGTAGCTGTTAGATATTTATTCTTTTTTTCTCTTGGTAGCATCAGGAGTTTAAAAAATTAAGAAGTCTTCAAGTTATCAAAAGCTGATAGAGCTTGGCACTGGAATGTGCCCCTGAAGCAGAGCCTGGGGGGTTGTCTGCATGATGGATCTGTAAGATGCTGCTTGCTGTGCTCAGTTACCTTGTTCTGTGGTGGTGCCTCCCCTCTTTTTGTTATTTACATAATGACTTTTAATATGAATCATTACAAATTACAGAACAAGCAGGGTAACACACCTAGAGCAGACTGATTCAAACAGAGCAACAGATGCCCAGAGGAGACCTGCACTACAGGACCAGGAGACACGAGTACAAGTGGTGGTGATACAGTATCTGGGTGATACTCTGCAAGTCTGGAGTGTGGAGGAAGATGAACAAGACCAAACAAATTGGAACGGAGATCTAGAAATGCTGGGAAAACAACATAAATGCTCTGCTGTACTTGAAGGACGTCCTAGCCCCTGGGACATGAGTGCTCAGGCTGTCTCTGAAAGCATTGCCACTTGGAAGAACGTCCTCCTGTCTCCAGGCCATGTCTGACTGACAGAATGCAAAGTCAAATGCTAAAGGTCACAAGGCTTACAGGATCTGCCCCTGAGGAAACACATTAAGAGCTTCAGTTGGCAGCAGCTGGCATGGAAAGCCAAGAGCATAGATGAAAAATCTGGACATCTGCAGAGCAGCTGGAGGTTTGGCAGAGGAATAGGCTTGTGCCTCCTTGGTACACTTCTTTACACTTGTTCCTTCTACTCTGTGTCCTGGGGAATGGCCTTATACTTTTCCCACTCCCAGTGATGGCTGCCTTTTTTCCCCTCCATGGACCACCATGTATCAGGAATTAATGATTAATAGATGTGAAGAGCTCCTCCCCCACCCTCCCACTCAGTGTGCACACACAGACACAGATCTGCAATTATAAACTGAAATATTTGGAGGAAGCCTGAGGCAGACACAATTTCAAGTCATGGGGAGACCCAGCCTGGTGGTGTGGTGGGAAATGTGTCTGAGCGTGGCTGAAGGAGCCAAGGGGCTGTTTTGGGGGTGTGCACTGGGCGTGCTGGGGTGCACTGAGTTTGTTTGCATGGACCAGTCACTGCTGGAGTGCACCAGTTGTGCTGGGGTGTACTGGGCACTGCTGGGGGGAAAGGGGACTGTCTGTGAAGGCAGAAAAACTGGGGGTGACACAGCACTGTCACACCCCAGGGCCTTGCTGTAGCCCCAAGCAGGTGCATGGCTGAGCCCTTTGCAGCCTATTTCACCCCCACTGCACAGCCCAAGGGTCCCCTGGGGGAGAGAGACCTCCCTGTTTGCCATTCTGTGGACCCCATCTGTGGCTGCTCTGGCCCCCCCAGGGGAGCACCATGTCTGCCCCACACTCACTCCTGGCTTCATGTCCAACCAGAGTCCTCACCACCTTCATACCTACCTGCCTGCCTCTGCCCAGACAGTTCCCTCCCCAGAACCTACTCCATTCCTGCCCCATTCAAAAGGCAATCAGGCAGGTGCCTTTGCTATAAAACCCCATTGTCAGTTAATTTCTTTGGAAATGCAGCTGTCCTACTGGGCATCATCTCCTGCACCAGGATGAGACCTCTCAGAAGGAATCTATCTTGTCAAAACCCTGGGTGAAACACCTCCACTTGAAATCAGAGCACATCAGGGCTTGTCTGTACAGATGACAGGAGCCCCGGGGCACCAGAGACCATGCTGAGAACAAGTCTCATTTAATTTACATCAGCCCAGCACCAAAGTCAGACTCAAGCTCGTGACCTCCTGCCATCCCAGTGCCGTCCTTGCTGCTGTGCTACCCAGGAGGGAGGTGAAGGGGCACTGAGGACTGCAGGCAGCAGCTTGTCCCCCAGCTCCAGAAAGCAGCTACAAAACACAAACAGCATCAGAGAGAGCAGCCAAGGAGCTTTTATTCCTGAGGAAATAAAGACCCAAAATGAAGTTGAAGCAAGCCTGACTCCAACACAGCACACGCAGAAAAAGCTGTTAAGCAGTTTGTAAGAAGTTACAACCAGAAAGACCATGTCCTAGAGAGTGTTACCACACCCAGAGCCAACTCCAACACCAAGAGTTGTTCCTGTGCTCTTGGCACAGCAGGAAGCTTGTGGCTACCTTGTCTCTGTCATCCTTCTCCCTGCAGAGCTCCATTCAAAGGTGTTTCAGGTCCTACCTCCATCAGAACCCCACACCAGACCCACTCTCCCCCTGTACACTGTGTTTTGAACTCTTCAGGCAGAGGTCTGGTAAATGCCAAGTGTTGTCAAGCCAGGGCATGGATGGCTTTGCATGGCCCCAGCTCTGCCAGAATCACCCTCAATGGTCAGAGCTGGTTTCAGCTGCTATGTCTGTGCCCAGCAGATTCCCTTTTCCCACCCTCCCGCTCCAGTCCCACAATGAATAATTTTTTTCCCCCCGAAGTTGTAACTGTCTTTCAAGGAAATATAGCAGGTTGGTCACTTGGTTCCTTTGCATCTCATGGGTATGTAGCATGAAATGTGACTCCCAGAAAAAGGCTGCTTGCTTCTGCAGGTCTCTCACCCTGAAGGTTGCCTCTGAACCTGCAGGGTTTTATTAAACTTTCTGGTCCAATCTCAATTCCTGCCACAATCACCCTTGTCTTTGAGTAGTCCTGTGCTGGAGAGCACTTATCCATTGATGATCTTCTCGCTGATGTATCCAGGCATGGTGTAGATCAAAAGAACCAGGAAGATGGTCAGAACAGTGACAACGAACAGCACTATTATATATTTCTTGTACCGTTTCCAGATAAAAAACACGAAGGTCTTCATGGGATTCACAAACCAGTTGAAAGACATCTTTGGCCGACTAGAACAGGAAGGGAAGAACAGATAAGCACAAGCTCAATCCATAGAGCAGCACACTGGCCCCTCTGCTTTGGTGTCCTGCTACTCTCATGAATGACCAGCTCTTCCTGCTGCTTCCAGGCAGGATCCCCTCTGCAGTGGGGCTGCAGTGCCTGTGGAAATGCTGGGGGCAGCAGGATGGATTCCTCAGAGCAGCCCTGCAGAGCTGTCCTGCACCAACAGGGCCAAGGGGTCCCTTCACATGGACAGAGCTGCCTATTGCACAAGCAATGTTATGGCACAGCTGCCTTGAGTATTGTCCCAAGATCAGCCCCGGGCCAGGTGCTGCAGCAACACGTGGACCCACTCGAGCCCTGGGAAGCCCTGGCAGTCCCAGTCCTGCAGACCACACTGCCCAGGGCCCCAGGGATTGCTCTCAGCTCCCTGAGTAGATGCTCCCAGTCTCCTTGCAAGCAGCTGCTGAGAACACAGCACTGTCCATCCATGCTAAAGGTGATAACACAGATACTCACTTGGGCTTTTCCAGGGGTTCAGGCTCTTTCCGGCCCAAACCAACAGGACTTTTTTCAGCCTCCTCCACAGTCAGCAGCTGGAACTCTGCTTCCACCTTACCCTGGAGAGGGAACATGTCTGAGCCACAGTTGCCTCTGTTGCTTCACAGCCCAGCCTGCTGACCATACAGCCTGCCATAACTGGGTATTTTTCTCCCATTTCCACTTACAGATGCTCTGAGCTTTTTTCTTCATTAGCTACAGAGTCTCTTACTTCACAGCCCATGGAAACTGTGGCCTGGTCAGACACAACTGTTTTGCACCCAAGGAACTGTATTGTAACGAACTCCCCAGCTACCTGGATCTGTCTGCAGCCTCCCACAGTGGCACTGAGAAAACTCACCCTTGGGGACACACAAGCAGGACTGGGGGGGATGGATGCATGGTCTGGGGCGTTTCAGGGGGAACACTAAATTGAGGAATACCATTCCAAAACTGTGATAGCACCCCTTAAGGAGCACTGCTCCTTGGGAAGCTCAGAGGAATACATGAAGTTGGACACTCCTGCATGCCACGGCAGCTGGCATTTCTGGGTAGACCAAGTGCTGGATTTGTAGCAGATGGAAGAAGTCTGCACCTCTGCACGAGGTGGGTCACTCTGTAGGTTATGTGCATGCAGGACAGGTTGCCATGTCAAGGCAGAGGCCAAACACTGGCTCTGCCCACCAGTGCCAGCACCACACTTACTGTCAGGAGGTACTTGGTCCCACTGGGGTCTGTGAATTCCACGTCCTCTGGTTTGACTGAGCTGCTCCACTTCTTTTTCTTCTTCTTCTTGCACTCCCTCTCCTCTCTCTCCTCGTCTTCTTGATCTTTGAGTTTGATGAAGGGCCACCAGCCCCTCATGCGCTTGTTTCGGAAGATGGAGAAGCGAGGTGTTGCGTTCTCCTTGGCCATCCTGATGGTGCACTGCTCAGAGCTCTTGGCTGCCCTCACCATGTCATGCAGCTTCAGCTCGATGGAGCCTGCAGGCACAGTGGAGAGAAGACCTCATGGTGAAACCCTGAGCTCAGCCCCACACAATATTTGGCCTTCTGTCTCCGCCACACTCCCTCAGCCTCAAGTAGATCCCAGCTGCTGCAATGATCTAGCACATTTACAGATGGAGAACCTGAAGCTTTGCATAAGACAGGACTAGCTCAAGAGTTAGAGACTAAGAGGCAGGGCTTGTCTCATCTCGGATGCAGCCAGCTTGGTATGCATGTGCTAGAGTGAGTTATTTTCACTCCTTTACCATGTCCCACCCTAGTCTCCTCACACGTCCAAGCTCATCTTCCTCTCTCATTCCTGCAAATGCCAGTTAAAAATTATAAAATCTGGGAAACGCTTTAAAGGTTTCAAGTTTGTCTTACCTCTGCAGTTCATCTGCAGTTCTTACATCTACAGCCTCAGTTCATTTCCTTGTTCGGCCTTGTGTCCCTGTTCTGCCTGGAATGAGCTCCTGTTCTGCTTGGCACTGAGCCCATGCACCAAATCAACCCTACCATATCCTGGGCTGTATTGGCAAAAGCAGCCAAGGGATGTGTGTGTTTTCTGCTCAGCTCCAGTGAGACAGCGCCCAGTTTTGGGCCCCCAACACAAGAAAGGTATCAACCAGCTAGAGAGAGCCCAGTGGCTGAGACAGCCAAGGCTGGACTATGTGCAACAGGAGGAGGGGTGAGAGATGTGTATGTTCAGCCCAGAGAAGAGAGAACAAGAGGAGATCGTGCTGCTACAGCCTAAAGGAGGCTATAGAGCAGATGGAGCTGGACTTTTCTCAGAAGTGAGTAGTGAAATTACATAAGGCAGTGGACACAAAGTGCTGCGAGTAACAAAAAAAGAGAATTATAAGAATGCTGCAGCCAGGAAAAGTGTCCCAGAAGGGTGCTGGGGCCTTCAGCCTTGGAGATACTCGAAACTCACCCAGACAATGCCCTGAGCAACCTGACCTACTACCTGCTTGGGGCAGGAGGTTGCAATAAACACTGCAGAAGCCCCTTCCTGTCTAGAAGTTCCTGAGATTGTACATGCCAGAAATCGTTGGAATTGCTATCTAACACTTTCTTCAGTGTCTAAGGAGCATGGCTGAACCACTGGAAGTGCCTCATGGAGGTAAAGCCCCTTAAACACACTATGGAAGTTTGAAGAATAGAGTTTTAACTCGTCCAAGAGAGAGCAGGGCAAAGGGGCTGTTTTTTAATAGGAGGTCAAAGTTTGAAGAAGGGACAACTTAACAGAATGCTACAAACTTGGGGAAGGGAGAGAGAATCAGCAGCACTTATGTTAGCATAGGGTGGGTGGAATCATCACTAGGCCAGTGGTGATCCAATACCAGGCCTTGCTGCACACCCAGCTCAGCAGGTCTGATTACTGGGAAGTACCAGAGCATCCAGGAAGCTCCGAGCTCCTGGAGACAGGGTGCTGCAACTCAAGCAGAAATAGTCTCACAAAGGTTGTCAATCCCTGTGCTGGCAGCATAAGCTCCTGGGAAAACTGCCCCTTGGCCCAATCTTTGGGATCTGCAGATCTAAGTAAGAGCAGGGAAAATGAGCAAGTTTATTGGAAAGGTTTTAAGGAAGCAGAATCTGGAAGTCCTGTGGTGCGACAGGCCCTGAAAAAGGACCCAAGGCCCTGGGACAAGCATGCAAGCATGTCTGTGTAGGAGAGGTGTGTATCTCCAGGCTCTGTCTATAGCTCACATGTGAGATACTAGCCCAGGTGACTGCTGTGCTGACAAGCTTGATCTGGTGTTCCTGGTGTCCCTTCTTAGAGAACCCCAGGGAAACACTGTAATACTCCAGCAAGGTGAGGGACAGGTCACTCCATACCTAGAAAGTCATTGGCTGAAATCCTGTCGTAATCCCAGACCTGGAGGACCAGAACAGCTGGTTCCCGAAACTCTGACTCCTCCCCAGAGAAGACAGAGTCCTTTTTCTTGTAGGTGATCTCCTTCTCGGTCGGGAGGTAGTTGAAGCGGAAGATGAACCTCCAGTTGAAATTGCCTTCCCCAGTCAAGGAGTTAAAGTGGACATCCGTCTCCTGCTTGTCGTGGTCAA